AACTTTAATGTCCGTAGAGTAGTGGAAGCAATTCATATTGAAATCCCCTACAATAAAGTTCTTTTTTTTTCAAAGAAGCCTTTTTTGAAAAGGCTTTCCTCAAAATACATGTTCATGTTCTCAGCCACACCGATCGGAGGCCTATAGCAACAGCTCAGTAAAATATTTTTAGATTGATTGTTAAGAATTTCAATAGTTAAAATTTCTTTGTCGCCGTCAGAAATAATTAAATTATACCTAACATAATAAAAACGGTTATTTCTTAATTATTTATCTAAACGGTTATTTCGCCTTAAATTAAACAAATCCAAGGACGCCTTCGAAATGTCAGCTGAACATTTAAAGAATGCGAGCTGTGAAGCACTAACAGAATGGCTCAGAAAATTTTTTAACTTTTCTATTAATCATGGACAAACTCCAAAATCGATGTCTACATCACTTATAATACCACTTACTAAATCGTATAAAAAATCCTTAACTGATCCAAATAACTACCGCGGCATTAGCATCATTCCAATCTTTACGAAACTAATAGAATATCTTATCCTACTAATCTGTCCAGAAATAAAAGAAACTCATCCTCTTCAATTCGGTTTCACTAAAAATAGCTCAACCCTACACGCTGAATTTGTTATTAGTGAAACAATTAAACACTACAACAACAACAACTCACCTGTCTATCTCTTCTCCCTAGATGCTGAAAAAGCGTTTGACAGCTGCAATTGGGACATTCTGTTTGAGAGACTGTACAATGATAAAAAAACTCCCTCTTTATATTGTTAATACCATATCGTCATTATACTATGAAAGCAGTGCTTCTGTTTCTTATCTAGATTCCAAATCATATCCTTTCTATCTAACGCAAGGAGTAAGACAGTGATCTATTCTCTCGCCTCATTTGTATAACATTTATACTCAAAACCTACTAGAAACCTTACAAAACGAAAGCGTCGTAGGTACATCAATCAATGGAGACTATACGGGTGTTGTAGCATATGCTGATGACATTATACTCCTTAGCTCCACCCTCTCTGGCCTACAAAAGCTTATTAATATATGTAATATGTACACACACAAAAACTGCATAAAATTGAATGCTGACAAAACCGAGTTCCTGCTCACCGGAAAAAAGCAAATTAAAAACTGCACAATAACTCTCAACCACCAACAAATAAAACTTCATGATAAACTTAGTCATCTAGGCTTTACATGGGATACAAAAAGTTCCCCTTTTGCCTCACTTAATAAATCAAACATTGATCACCGAATATCTAATTTCCGGACGGTAATCCAAACCTTAATTCAATCAGGAATCCATTTTGCTCACCCAAACTCCATTGTTCAGTTATATAAAACTTTAGCTGTTCCAACACTAACGTATGGTCTTGAGCTGTGTGAACATAAAAAAATGTTAATGCAAAAGCTTGATATAGTTGGATGAAATGCATTTAAGTCACTCCTCGATGTTTCAAAACATAGCAAAAATTATATTCATACCTAATTTTTTATTGAAGATGTATCAATTATTATACAACAAAACAAGCTAAACTTATTTATTCGTTTGATGAACAATAAAATGACATGATATTATTAGGTCGCAGCTGAAAAACAAAACAGCCCCAACAACATTTTTTAGATAGTATCAAAGGGTTGTGCAATAATCATGAACTTAATCTGGAGACAATAATGGAAAGTAAAAAAAAAAAAAAAAATGCGCAATACTTTAAAAAAAGTAAAAAAAAAATAAAATAATGCGCAATACTTTTCCTTCACCGCGTTTATTGATAAGTCTCTCTTGAGAAATTAACTCAAAGAAAAGAAGATTAAAATTTGAAGTAGTATTTAAATCATTTTCAGTTATCCAGCTTTCAGTTAAACAAATTATATTAAAAAAATTGTTGGTTTCTTGTAACAAATTGAGAAGATTTTCGAAATTGCGGTTTAGGCTTCTGATATTTATATGAAGAACTCTTAGTTGATCAAAATTGTTATTTTTTTGTTTTAAAATTTTTATAAGAAAACTCTTCTAATTTGTTAGGATAATAATATGAACAATCTGTAATAATGTCATTGAAATAATTAATATCTGGATCTAAATTTTCATCAGATGAGAAGTGTCTCATTTCTGAAAAATTAAAAGGAAACGAATTAAAGTTGTTTGTTTCAGACATTATGATTAAGTTATAAATTAGAAGAACTTTCTTAATTCTAAAATCTTTAATTTTGAACAAAGACTATTGATTTTTTTGGATAGTATTAAAAAATTGCATAAATAATGAAGTAACAAAAAAAAAAATTAATTTTACATTTTGACCCAAGTTTTAGGTCGCGAAACCTAAAAAAGTCACTATATATTTAAAAAAAAAAATTATCTTTTATGATCTCTATAAAAAATAGAATCAAACTTGAGGATAGCGTATTTACCTTCTTTTCTCAATTTAACGACTTCATCCCAGAGTTTTTTACGCTTTTCTATTGTTTCCTTAGCTAAGTCTTCGTTTACGAACACACCAGTTCCGCGTAGTTTTTTTTGAGTTTTGTATAATTAACTTTTTGTCGTTGAAATTTAAAAGTTTGATGATAATCGTTTGCTCTTTACCTTGTTTTAATGGTCCTGACTTGTGTGCTCTTTCGATTATAATGTCTTTGCTGATTTTAAGATTATTGGAAAATATATCCTTAACTATTTTTTCACACTTATCACATGTTTCGCCTTGAATTTCTTTGACACCATCAATTCTAAGATTGCTTCGTCTAGAGCGATATTCTAGATCTATTAGTTTTTCATTTATTACATTTATAGTTTTTGATAGTATTTCTGATTCCATATTTTTTTTTTCGTTAGAGATTCTTTTCTGATTGTCGATGCGATGATTTATTTCGTTTATTTTTTTCATAACCATATTTTTTTTCATAACCATCGATCTCTTTTTCCATTTTCTTAATATTTAATGCGTTTTTCTGCATTTTATTTTCAATTTTATCGAATCTATCTGTTATTAATTTCATGTTGGCAGATGTTATTTTTGCAAAATTAAGATAATACTAAAGGGACGATATGTTAAGCAGGACTTTCAATTTTTGAATAAGAGTATAGAAAAGAAAAAATAGAATTGTTTGAATAATCTAAAATTAATTGGGTGTCTTCTGACGGATCACTTTTCCTGTTGTGGAAGAAAAACTGATTAAGAACCTAAAAGGCTTTTTCCCATAAGGCAACAAAGATACTGAAATTGCAGGACCATCATATGTAGTGTCCCCCATAGTTGAAGACAATGAAGATAGCACAATCGCAGGATCATTACATGTATTGTTTTCCATAATTGATTTCAACGAAGATACTGTAATCACAGAACCATCACATGTACTGTCCCCCATAGTTAAAAGAAATGAAGATACTGCAATCGTTGGACAGTCAAGTTTATTATCTCCGATTAAAAAAATTGTTTTTGGCAAGAAAAAGCCACAGAAGAAAAACCTAAAAGAAAAAATACCCGCTAAAGTGTCTGGAGAATTTGGCCAAGTGTATTTCCAAAAAAAAATTAAAAAAAAAAAAAGAAATTGAAACTGAAACAAAAAAGAGCAGCTGAAAGGGAAAGAAAGAAAGAATAAAGCGTCTATTTTTTTTATTTCAAACTGTTTTGAAAAAAAAAAAAAACAGACTTGCCTTTATTATTGATACTGTTGAAGATTCTCCGGAATTTTTTGAGTGAAAAGAGCTTAAAAAACAAATATATTACAAAAATAAATACCTAAACTTATGTATGTTTTACTTTTGTTTACTTATGTAAGTTATGGAAACTGTTTTGGATATCTGGAAAAACTGAAAGTTTAAAAAAATATCCGGAATTCCGGAAATGAATGAAAAAAAAAATTAGCTGATTCGCGTTAAGAAGTGGACTTAAAACACTAAAAGACTACTTGACTATTTATTAAACCTTGTTTATAAAGTTATTTTCATACCTTGTTTATAAAGACAAAGTTTTATTTATTACAAGTTTTATAAATTGAATGTTTATAAAACAATTTTCACCTTATGTATACTAAAATTTCTCTTGAATTGAAAATTTTGTTTATTTTGCTAATTGAAAATTAAATTTTGTTTAGACTATTTTGCTATTAACAAATGTCAGTTGCGGAAGAGATTGTCTTTCATTTCTTTGAATTGAATGACAATCTATCTCTATTGATTAAAATTCAATTATTTGTCCAATAAAATTGGTTAATATAACTAACATGTTGGCTGTAATTGTTACGACCAAAAAATACATTATAAAAAAACTTTTTTTATAAAAAAAATAATTTACAAATATAGATACATTATGGCATAGAAACGGAGCGGTCAAAATTTATGGGACAAATTACATAAAAATACTTAACAAGCAAATTAGTGCAAAATCAAATCTTTTTTGTACATGCCTAATGATGAAATTATTTATTAATTACCAACAAGGTAGTGCAAAGGTTATTTGACTTCTATATTTTATATAATGCTTACTAAATATAAAACAATAGCGCCCAACAGTTTTGGAAATTGCCTATTGTATAAATTTTATTTGCAAATTATTTTAAAAGTGACCTTTCTGCCATTGAATCTCTATACTATATAACAAAAAACATGAGTAAAAAAATATATATTAACAGAATATATAAACAAATTCAATGTTAAATTAAAAAATCATTAAAATTTATGTTCGAAAATTTTGTTCTTAATTTACACAAAATTTTCCTCGACTGGTTAGTCGAATTGAATTTAATAATAAAGTTATTTGTTAATATTTGTTGTAATTTAACGACAAACAGCATCTTAAACTAAGCTTTTATTAGAAAACATTTATTTTAAAAAAGGAAAAAAATGACTTTCCCCTGTTTCACTACTTTATTATAATTATAACTTTATATATAATATAATTACTTATAATATTAATTTAATATATATAATAATTTGTTATATATAATATAGAAATAAGTTTAAATTAATTTAAATAATAACAACTGAAAAAGTAATGAAATTTTTTCTTCAAAAAAATTTATAATGATAAAAAAGAAAGATTTTCTAATATTCAATTGTAAATACATCCTAATCGTTATGACTGTTTTCATATTTCGAATAATAACTAATGTATTCTGGATAATCGATATATCCATCTTTATTGTAATCTTGATCTCTAAGGATCATATCGACAAACTCAATTAATGTTTCTGTGTTATCCACTGTCGGCGCTAAAAAATAAATTATAAAAAGTTATTTTCTTAACAACAAACTTTCATAATTTGATCAAATTAAAAAAGATAAAAAATTATGACTCTGTTAGCGTAACATCAGCTATAAATAAATATTAAAAAAAACTATAAAATGAATAAAAAAGTTTTGAAAAAAATATTAAATCTGTCATTATTTGAAACTTATCTGAAAATAAAAATGTGTTTAAGATAAACCTTAAAAACAAAACCATGATTTTATTTGTAACTTATACATGTACATTGATTCGCATAGCTGGAATTTCTTGAAAACTACTTATTTTATAAAGTATTATTTTATTTTGAGTCAAAAAATCACATCGTATTGCTTTACATTTTATTTTAGAGACAAAACGATCAAAAAAAGGTGGCAGTCATTGAAATATTAGTGATATCTGAACATGAATTTTTTCTTAATTTCGTCTTAGTATTAATAAGATAAAAAATAAATAGAATAGAATAATATTTACCCTTAGTATTTTCGATAACAATTTCAACGCCAATGCATTAAATCAACTAGGCATTGACATCTTTCTGCAGGTATTGAGTACCACCCTTGTTAAATAGCTCCCAAAACTTTTGAGTATTAGTTGTATTAGCAGCAGAAGCTGCTTTTTTAATATCTCCTAAGTTTTCAATGGGGTTGTGTTTGGGTCACTAAGCCCATAACTCGATCTGATCTTGACATATATATGTTTCTCCATGATAGAATTAATCTTTTGAATAGGTCCAACATTATATGAGAAGCATCCCCATACTATGATTTTAGATCCATCATATTTTAGACTTACCCAAATATTTTTGACGGAATTCAGTTTGACATAAACTCTCAAACCTTTACATTCATTATGAATAATTTTAAATTCAATGGACCATAATAAATTGTGCTTAATTTTGATGGGCCAATTCATATGTTGGCCAACTGTAAACACTTAGCATTATGTTTTTTTCCGTCAACAAAGAAACTTTTTATAGACAACATGCATTTAAACTGTTGTCTCTTAAGCGCCTTAGTGTCACTTTTCTTTGTTTTGCTTGGCCAATAAAGATGATTTGCTTTTAATTTATCTAACAAGTCTTCCTGAGCAGTAGCTTTTCCACATTGTTTTTTAAGCTTTTGCTTTATAATTTATGGTATTTGATATCATTTGGTTGTACCCAAGAGTAAATTTGCCCAATGATGTTTCAAAATAATGTTGCATTCTGATGTACAATGACGTCCTCAGCCCAATTTGAAAGTTTTTTAAAATGGGCTGAGGCTAAAATGGCCATTTTACACCAGAATGCAACATTATTTCAAAGCATCATAGGGTAAATCTTATATACACAAGTAAATGAAGAATATATTATAATCAATTATAATATATTCTTTATTTATTTGTGTATACTCTATAGTAAAAAACACTTTTACCATAAAGTATACACAAATAGAGAATAGAGTTTTACCATAGAAAATACACAAATAAATAAAGAATTATAATTGAAGTAATACTTTTTCTATATTTAATATTTGAATTTTTTTCAAATATTAAATTAGAAAAAAATTTTAAGAAATTTTTTTCTAATTTAATATTTGAAAAAAATTTCTTAAAATTTTTCAAACTAACTTAAAAATTAATACAACCACTTCTACTTTAATGCATTTCCTCTATTACAAAAATCTTATCAAAAATAACAATATTCCTGAATGTAGTGAATTCTCATTTGCTAAATTTACTTATCTCATTCACTCAGAAACACAGATGAAGTTCTTCTGTACACACATAAAGTTCTTCTGTATTATACAGATGAAGTTCTTCTGTACACACATAAAGTTCTTCTGTATTATACAGATGAAGTTCTTCTGTACACACATAAAGTTCTTCTGTATTATACAGAAACACAGATGAAGCTCTTCTGTACACACATAAAGTTCTTTCTGTACACACATAAAGTTCTTCTGTATTATACAGATGAAGTTTTTCTGTACATACATAAAGTTCTTCTGTATTATACAGATGAAGTTCTTCTGTACACACATAAAGTTCTTCTGTATTATACAGATGAAGTTCTTCTGTACACACATAAAGTTCTTCTGTATTATACAGATGAAGTTCTTCTGTACACACATAAAGTTCTTCTGTATTATACAGATGAAGTTCTTCTGTACACACATAAAGTTCTTCTGTATTATACAGAAACACAGATGAAGCTCTTCTGTACACACATAAAGTTCTTTCTGTACACACATAAAGTTCTTCTGTATTATACAGATGAAGTTCTTCTGTACACACATAAAATTCTTTCTGTATTATACAGAAACACAGATGAAGTTCTTCTGTACACACATAAAGTTCTTCTGTATTATACAGAAACACAGATGAAGTTCTTCTGTACACACATAAAGTTCTTCTGTATTATACAGAAACACAGATGAAGTTCTTCTGTACACACATAAAGTTCTTCTGTATTATACAGAAACACAGATGAAGTTCTTCTGTACACACATAAAGTTCTTCTGTATTATACAGAAACACAGATGAAGTTCTTCTGTACACACATAAAGTTCTTCTGTATTATACAGAAACACAGATGAAGTTCTTCTGTACACACATAAAGTTCTTCTGTATTATACAGAAACACAGATGAAGCTCTTCTGTACACACATAAAGTTCTTTCTGTACACACATAAAGTTCTTCTGTATTATACAGATGAAGTTCTTCTGTACACACATAAAATTCTTTCTGTATTATACAGAAACACAGATGAAGTTCTTCTGTACACACATAAAGTTCTTCTGTATTATACAGAAACACAGATGAAGTTCTTCTGTACACACATAAAGTTCTTCTGTATTATACAGAAACACAGATGAAGTTCTTCTGTACACACATAAAGTTCTTCTGTATTATACAGAAACACAGATGAAGTTCTTCTGTACACACATAAAGTTCTTCTGTATTATACAGAAACACAGATGAAGTTCTTCTGTACACACATAAAGTTTTTCTGTATTATACAGAAACACAGATGAAGTTCTTCTGTACACACATAAAGTTTTTCTGTATTATACAGAAACACAGATGAAGTTCTTCTGTACACACATAAAGTTCTTCTGTATTATACAGAAACACAGACAAAGTTCTTCTGTACACACATAAAGTTCTTCTGTATTATACAGAAACACAGATGAAGTTCTTCTGTACACACATAAAGTTCTTCTGTATTATACAGAAACACAGATGAAGTTCTTCTGTACACACATAAAGTTCTTCTGTATTATACAGAAACACAGATGAAGTTCTTCTGTACACACATAAAGTTCTTCTGTATTATACAGAAACACAGATGAAGTTCTTCTGTACACACATAAAGTTCTTCTGTATTATACAGAAACACAGATGAAGTTCTTCTGTACACACATAAAGTTCTTCTGTATTATACAGAAACACAGATGAAGTTCTTCTGTACACACATAAAGTTCTTCTGTATTATACAGAAACACAGATGAAGTTCTTCTGTACACACATAAAGTTCTTCTGTATTATACAGAAACACAGATGAAGTTCTTCTGTACACACATAAAGTTCTTCTGTATTATACAGAAACACAGATGAAGCTCTTCTGTACACACATAAAGTTCTTCTGTATTATACAGAAACACAGATGAAGTTCTTCTGTACACACATAAAGTTCTTCTGTATTATACAGAAACACAGATGAAGTTCTTCTGTACACACATAAAGTTTTTCTGTATTATACAGAAACACAGATGAAGTTCTTCTGTACACACATAAAGTTCTTCTGTATTATACAGAAACACAGATGAAGTTCTTCTGTACACACATAAAGTTCTTCTGTATTATACAGAAACACAGATGAAGTTCTTCTGTACACACATAAAGTTCTTCTGTATTATACAGAAACACAGATGAAGTTCTTCTGTACACACATAAAGTTCTTCTGTATTATACAGAAACACAGATGAAGTTCTTCTGTACACACATAAAGTTCTTCTGTATTATACAGAAACACAGATGAAGTTCTTCTGTACACACATAAAGTTCTTCTGTATTATACAGAAACACAGATGAAGTTCTTCTGTACACACATAAAGTTCTTCTGTATTATACAGAAACACAGATGAAGCTCTTCTGTACACACATAAAGTTCTTCTGTATTATACAGAAACACAGATGAAGTTCTTCTGTACACACATAAAGTTCTTCTGTATTATACAGAAACACAGATGAAGTTCTTCTGTACACACATAAAGTTTTTCTGTATTATACAGAAACACAGATGAAGTTCTTCTGTACACACATAAAGTTCTTCTGTATTATACAGAAACACAGATGAAGTTCTTCTGTACACACATAAAGTTCTTCTGTATTATACAGAAACACAGATGAAGTTCTTCTGTACACACATAAAGTTCTTCTGTATTATACAGAAACACAGATGAAGTTCTTCTGTACACACATAAAGTTCTTCTGTATTATACAGAAACACAGATGAAGTTCTTCTGTACACACATAAAGTTCTTCTGTATTATACAGAAACACAGATGAAGTTCTTCTGTACACACATAAAGTTCTTCTGTATACAGAAGGAGAGTAATAATCAAAATATCATTTTTTTTTTTTATAAATTTTTCTTCTATTTTCATGCTCACAGTTGTTGTTGGGGAGAAAAGTGTCATGGGTAAAAAGTGCCATTTTATTTGAATTACTAATAACAAAAAAGTCTGCAACTACTCGAGTTAACTCTATTTATAGACAAACACATTGCAACATGTTTGTAGTAGTGTGTTTGTCTATTCAGTCGGCATATGACTGTTGTGTACATAATTCTTTTTTTTGTCTGAAAAAATTTCTTTTGGGTGGCAAGCATACATATTGATAAAATAAATTAAGTGATTGATTGTTTATTATTAAGTACTATTTACAAGTTTTTAATTTTATATTTGAGATGATAATTGCTAAAAACATCAATTATTAGT